TTTATTCTTTATAAGGTAAAGGACAATAATTTATGATTCTTCCACCACCACCAAACCCAACACTTTAATTTATGAATAATAATAATAATAATAATAATAATAATAATAATAAAAACAAACTATTTTAATCCGAACCTTCCTCAAAGCCCCTTACACATAAATCCCCCAAACCAACCCAATAATCTATTAATTAAAATCCTAGAAAGAAAAAAAAAATTTTCAAAATAAATAAAAATTAAACTTTCCTAGACTGAGGAAGGTGCGTCACCTCCAATTTTCATCATCTGAATCCCATTTTTATCTAACCCATCACCTTCATGATAAATGTATGCAAATCCTCCATGTCGAGTTGGGTCCATACCCGCCATTTCGTCGTCGGCCGAGATCCGGAGGAGTTTGAGCTTGGAGAGGGCGTAAAACAGAGTCCCCATGGTGGCACTGACAAACCCGGCTATCACTACAATTTGTATGATGTGTGCGGCCAAGAGCCTGCCTCCGCCGCCCATGAATAGCCCGTACTGAACCGGCCTTGATGGGTATACTTCTTTGACGTACTTCTCGGAGGCGAACAGCGCCGTGAAAATCACACCCCAGGCGCCGCAACCGCCGTGCAGTTGCGCCGCCTCTAGTGGGTCGTCGTATCCGAACTTCTCTGCCAGCATGTTGCAGCCGATTAAGACGAGGGAGGCTACGAACCCGCATATGACGGCGGCCCATGGCTCCACCACGGAACAGCCGGCGGTGATGGCAGCGAACCCGCCAAGCAAGCCATTGCACACATCTGTGACGTTCCAGTGCCCTGACAAAATTCTTTTGCCAAAAAGCGTGGTCAGGGCTGCCGTACACCCAGCCAAAGTGGTGGTGACGGCGGTTCTCCCGACGGCGCTCCACTGACCGTAGTAGCTCCCTGAAGCGTATGCCACGGAGATTTTATTGAAAGATCCCGGGTTGAATCCGTACCACCCAAACCAGAGCATGAAAGTTCCGAGGACGACGAGGGACGCGCTGTGACCGCGTAAGGGTGTCTGTTTGCTGGAGTGATCGAATCGGCCGATTCTGGGTCCTTCAATTAGTGCGCCCCAAAATCCGGCAAGTCCTCCGACCATGTGGACTACCCCAGATCCGGCGAAATCAATGACACCTGAACCAAATAAGAAATCATCAGTCCTAAAAGCACTCGCCCACCCATCGGCGGACCAGAACCAGTGAGACACAACCGGATAGACGAATCCGGTGAGGAAGGAGGAATAAATCAGGTACGCTACGAATTGGGTTCTCTCGGCAATGGATCCACTGGTGATTCCGGCAGCCGCGATGGCAAATGCCCACTGATAAAGAAAATTGCTGTAATCAAACGACGACGACGGAATCGATTCAAGAGCGAAATTCTGACGGCCGATGAACCCATTGGATGGGCCACCAAAGGCGAACGCGAATCCGAAGAGGTAATAAAATAGGCCACCGGCGGCGGCATCGAGGACGTTGGTGAGCATGATGTTCATGGTGTTCTTGGCCCGAACAGAGCCAGCGCAGAGCATGGCGAAGCCGAGTTGCATGGAGAAGACGAGGTAGGCAGAGAAGAGGAGGTAGGTGTTGTCGACGGCATAGGCGGTGTCAGTGAACTTGTTGGAGACGGAGGCGAACTGATCGCAGATGTAGGCGGCGGCGGCGGTAGCATTGGGACCAAGGAGTTGGGAGAGTTGGTCCAGGGAACAAGTCATGGAGGCGGTGGCGGCCATGAC